GAGGGGGGTGGTGTTACAACAATAGTTGTGTTACTCATGCGGAAAGTCATCTTGGCTTCGTTAAGATCAGAAGTGAGGATATTTGCTTTAAGTGTTTACCAAAGATAGCTCCAGACAGCTTGTTTTTTAATACTGGCAGTAGCACTAATACAATCATCAGCAGCAGTTGGTGCTAGAGCTGATGGCTGGGTATAAATGAGAGTGGTTTTGTAAAGTGTGTGCATGCGTGTGACGTTGGGATGTGATAGACGGTACGCTGAGGAGCTGCGAGCCTGTGATCATCCTCTGATCATGTAACTTGGCTTGGGAAATGGGAAATTAATTCTTTTTTCTATAGTAAATCTGCGTGCTTCATAAGCCAGTGCTGGAGCAGTGGAAAAACTCATTCTTTGGGGCTATTTATGTTTTTTTTTTTCTTCTCTCCATTGACACTTCAGAACATTTCCATTGAAGGAAGAGAAGTCATGTTGCTGGAGAGCCAACATCATCAGTGGGAGAACGGGTGTCTGAGGGGTTTTTTTAATTCTTTTCTTTTTTAAATTGGTTTTATACAGAGTAACCAATCTTAGACTGATTTTTAAAACCACTTATTGTCCCTTAAGCACCAATGTCCGTTGTCCACTGATGCAATCAATCACAGACCACAAGGATCAAGAACTGTGTCCATCTCCCACTGACTATAAATGTGACAGTAAAACCGAGACACAAAATAACTTGTAATACTCAATATTTCCTGCTTTGGTGAGTTTTACCTGGAAGTGCAAACAGGACGGAGCTGTTTGTGTGTGAGTTTAGACCTCGCCCTGCTGACTCGTTTCAGCTGAGCTGTGCCCAGACTTTCTTAGCATCCACATCATATGCCCCGTTGTGAATGGATATGCTGAAAGCCGCACTTTTCTTCACACCCACGCAGGCATAACAGAAATGTTTACAAAAGGAGGACTGCTCTTAGTAATCACTCCAGAATTTTCAAGTGCAAATGCCACTCAAAGTGGCCCTCTACCTCCTTTGCTGTTGAATGCTCTGATAGCTCTTCCCTGTGGTTACTGCATGGGAAGGTGAGGGGCTTTCTCTCCAGCTGTTCGCTGTATTTTTATATTAGCATTTTCCCTTGTTTTGGATGGATTCATTTAGGGAAGAATCAACATTTGGTCTCCCTCAGAGCTCTAAGGTTTCTCATCATGGGTGGTGAGACACTGGAACAGGTTGCCCAGAGAAGTTGTGGATGCTCTCTCCCTGGAAGTGTCCAAGGCCAGGTTGGATGGGGCTTTGAGCAGCCTGGTCTAGTGGAAGGGGTCGCTGCTCATGGCAGTAGATTTGGAGCTAGATGGCCTTTAAGGTCCCTTCCAACCCCAACAATTCTATGGTTCTATGATCTGTTCTGGGCTTTTCAAGATGGGGAAGATGTGCTGTACCTGCAGAGCACGCGGTGCTTTGGGTGACGGTGCAAAGCCCCTGGCCCACAGTGACCCAGCGGACACATGTGAATCCTCCAGCCAGAGCAAACAGGAAAGCTGGTCTGTGGCATAGCAGACCAAGGAAAAGATCTCACAAATTCAATTGTAGCTTCATCCCTGCTGGTCAGGGCTAAATAGCCACTCCACTCATTCTACACCCAAGTGAGGAGGAGGTGACCCTCCTAAAGATGCTGTTGTGTTTCCCCCACAAACATCCCCTCGGATCTGCCTCAGAAGCACTGTCAGGCATCTGTCCGCAGCACCCATGGCACCCTCCTTCCCCCCAGGAGGTTTGGTTTGATGGTACATGTAGGACCAGAAGAGATGGGTTGGTTTGACCTTGGTGACCAAAGTCTCTGCTCCAGCAGCATTGCAGGGAACATCTGCTGTTGAAACCAAAGGGTGCACATGAGACGCAGCTGCACGTCCACCTTCGAGGACTAGACAGGGCAGTATTTTACTGTGGGGATTGGGCAATGCCGCTGAGCAGCGACATTTACCCTGTGGGCTGGTGGATCTCCTGTGACTTGTCAAGGTGAGGGCACTGCACTGCTCTCTCCTCACGTCTGTGCAAACCTTGGCTGCTGTCAGGGAGTGGAGGCTGGTTTTAGGGCATTTACTTCTGGATCTGGTGAAACTCATATCTTCGCTTTCCAGTTTCCTAATGTGCCGAAGATAACATATGAAACCAGTCAACCTCAGGGCAAAATTCCCCACCCTAACTCGACCGTGACCTCAGCCCTGCCTTGGTACGGAGGAATCGCAGTGACCCTCCAGCCTGGGGTACCGTGTTCTCTTCAGTCGCTGAGCTCTGATGCATCATCTGATGTGGAATTTGGTTGAAGATTTTCCTCTTTATTTTCCTGTTCCCTGAGAAGACATGATCACATTTTCCTGGAGCTGAGTTGCTTGCACTCTAGTTTCAGAGGGGCTCAATTGTGCATCTGAATTTCTGGGTTGAAAGTTTCTAACTGACATAAGCACCCCACTTTGTGAGTGAGGTACTCAGAGAGCACCTGCATCTTAAAGAAATAACCAACTAGATACACAAGACATAGTAGGGGAATGATTTATCATTATTGTCCTTAAATTTAGGTAGAAATTGTGTCAAATGGAGATTGGGTGAGTTACCCAAGTCCAACAGGAGATCTGCTTCAGGGCCAGAAACAGTTAATTCAGAGCATAGTGTCTTCACTAACAGTCCATCCTCTTATTTTTCTCTTTCTTTAAAAGACTTTGCAGTTTAAAATCTCACAGTGTTGGACTCATAGAGAGCTGAAATCAAATATATATATGTATATAAAAGAAATGTGGTATTGTGGCACTGAGGTTGGGATGAGCTACAGAAGCCATGAATAAATTTAAGCTAAATGTCATAAGAATATCATAAGAATATATGATATGCTTTTGGGTCAACTGATTGTCCATCCAACCCCATATTCTGCCTCTGACAGTGCAGTATGAGATATTGTTTTGAAAGATTACATGAACCTTTCAAAGACCACTTTTTGCCATTCATCCTTCTTGTGTCCACACAGGCATTCATACTTCTTAGGACTTACATACCCCTTGAAGTTTTAGGATTAAGGATGTTAGGTGTAAAACCAAGCCTAGCATGGGTGTTCAAAGTGGTGAGAGTGTCAGAGATCTTCTTATGCCATGAGGATTACACTACCAGAAGTGGCATGAACTTCCAGAAGGCAGCTCTTTTCCTGAGGTTTTCACCATCTTAGGCCAAAATCCTGTTAAAAATCCTCTGCTGTGTTTGTTGGTTTTTTTTTCCTAGCCTTTACCTGCGATATAATTTCCTTCCAGCATTAGAGCTGACATAAAAATCAAAACTTTAAGGAACTCTGTTTTGGATTTGGAAGCAGAGATTGAAAAGCTCTTGGAGTTTGAAGGAGCTTGGATTTGAGATTGTGCTCCTGACACATCATTAATTTTAAGATTGTTTTCCCAGCAAGCCTAGGCTTTCCGTTCCCAGTTGAAGATCATTTACCATTGACTGAATGGTGAATTATAGTAGTGGAATGAGGCAAAGAAATATGTCGATATCAGATATAACAACGAGTAGTCAGTCAGATTTGAACCTGTGCCAATCAATACAACCCTAGCCTTGAAATTGTTAAAACAAAGAACTTCATTACATTTAATGATCAAGTGTCCTCTGGATTTCTGAGGAGTTTAGGTTAACCATTTATATTACTCAGCTCTAATATAAATGACAAACTCCGGGAAAATCCTCTTAAAATTAAATTGGAAAGTTGGGGTTTTATATATATATATATCTATATAGTTATTTTGCTTCAAGGAAGTATCTGCTTTCCAGACATCTCTTCAAACAAATCATGTCTGAACAGAAAAAATAAACAAGGAATAGCTTAAACTACAAGGTTTTGCTGTGTGGAAGAGCAGGGAGAGGAGTTAAAAAGAGAAAAAAAAAAAGTTGAATTTCCTGAAAAAGTGTCTTAGCTTATGCCATGTGGCTGTCACATTGCTGTCTACAACGCAGGGCCTTAGCACAGTGCTCTAATCTAGGAGATTCTCCAAATCTAGTAGAGTAGATTTGATGTGTTTCACTGAAAATATTGGGGAGGATTTGGAGGGATGTACTACAATTTCTAGAAGCCAGTGTAGAGAGAGTTTTCTGTTTATCATGCAGTGCCCAAAATAAACTTTAGGGTTGAAAGTGCTTTGGTTTTATCGATGTAAAGAAATAAAAATAATAATTTGTGAGGCATTCAGTGGTATCTTTATCACCAGATATTAACTGAGGGCAAATGGTTTATAAATCCAAACACCAGTGAGTAAAACTAGGTCTCCCCCTCTCTCACTTAGTGCAATCCACCAGTGCTTCAGCAAAAAATAAACTGTATTTATCCTTAAAATAATTTCCTCCATAGTGGGCTGTAGCAAGTACATCAAAAGGTGTCATTAGCTTCCGATAGTTATCCCAAACCATTTGGTTTCATATTGTTATAATTGAGGTGACTGTCAGTAATTGGGACAACATCCAAATGTGACATTTTTGGACAGATGCTGAAAAGATTAATGACATTTTCCTTCTTGGATAGTATTGTCAGCACTGAAAACACTACTGTGTAATGTTTGAACTGGATAGAAACTTGACAGGCATGCCAAATGCTGACTGTAGAGTCTCCCCACCTCTGAAGTCCACTTCCTAAGCTCAGACCTGGGTCTTGTAGTTGCTGTCTGCTTATCTGTCTGAATCCTCAAGGACTGGAAAGTCTCGGTGTAACATGCTGTTAGACTTGGACAAGAGACACCAGGAATTTGCAGCACAGCTGCTAGGTCTTTTAAAACTCTGCTCACTGCTCCATTCATTCCCAAAAAGCAGTTTATTATGGGAAGGATAAAACATAGAGCAAGGTTTGAAAGGCTTGAGTCCTAGAGGAGCAGGTTGTGTTTCATTATATTCTTATTATTTATAGCACTGATGTGTGTGTGTGTTCAGTAATCCCACCTCATATTTTTCATTTTTTAAAAAAAGTTTTCTTTTCTTTTCTATTTTTTTTTTCCTAGACCCCAGGCAGGCACAGTCATCCCCACCATGGTCCTATGACCAGTCTTACCCATCCTACTTGAGCCAGATGACTTCACCGTCCATTCACTCCACAACTCCCCTGTCCTCCACTCGAGGCACAGGACTTCCAGCCATCACCGATGTGCCCAGACGCCTCTCAGGTAAAGACTGTGTTTTGCCTAAAACAATTATGCAGATGGGAACAGAACTGGCAGAGGCTGCCTCCGTGGCCTCAGACAAATCTTAGCAAGAAAAGCAAAGCTCAGTCGGTGATAACAGGGTTACTGCATGGTGGGCGGGGGTCAAAGTCCCTTTTTTTCCCAAGTGGAAGAGCTGCTGAGTTGCTCTGAGCAGGTATCATTTGAATGTCTCTAGGTTCATTTCAGATCAGACTATTTTTAAATTGTGAACCTCATTCTATGAGCAAATTCTTTCTTTTTTCTTTTTTTTTTTTTAAGAGGATGTTTACTTGCATGTTTTAAAATAATTGTGATATTCTCTATTTTTTGGTGCTTTGCTTTTGTGGTGTGTGTGATGTTAGGCATCCTGACAGATAGATGCCTTTATTTCTTCAGTAGTTAAGGCTAAGGTTCATTCTCCTGCATTTCAATCCAGTAGCTCAAGAAAGCCTATTTCCTTAGTTAATGTGTACTTAAGATGCGTATCAGAAACTAGCTGAGTCACTTTAGGGCAAAGATTGGACAAATTGTGCTTTGGAATGATGCAGGAGAGAGGAAATACCTTTAGGAACGTAGACAAAGACAGCAGTGAAGGACTGAGACTTTATTTTTTTTTTATCAAACAAATGTACATTTACATACTGTGCAATTCATCTCTAATGGTCTCAGTGATAAAACCATCTGTGTGAAGTAATCTGATTGCCCCAAAGTAAGATAGAGCCTGTCATGGCACACAGTCACCTTGTATATCTTGCCAAAAATGAGGAACCTTAGGGGAGGGAGGCTCAGTATTAAAACTCCAACCTTGCAAGTGTGGAAATATAAGTAGCATATGCCAAAAAAGCATGTGTAATGTGAAGAAAGCCTTTATGATTCATTAATGAAAACCAAAGAATCAGTCTTATTACATCTATTTTTTGCATGTTTGCAAGATATTATTATAATCTTGGATGCTGCTGCCATACACCTGTTTGACTCGCAGCCAGGTGAATTTCTTGCTGTCGTGTTTTCCCCTTCCACCAAGTTCATAGCGCTGCAAATGTTGATCACTCCACTGAGCTGCATCACTGACAAGCTGAACTTCAGCCAGCGGGCGTGTAGGATTGATTAGCGTAGACTCCTCGATTTCTTTCATCTTGGAGGAGGGAAGCTTTGTTTCTCAAACAAACAGCTGCAAAAAACCTCTGCGGTCCCAGCACACTGTCTTCTCAGAGATGCCAAACATCTCCATGTGGGCTGAGGCTTGGAGGGTGGTGGAGCAGGTTCCTGCGGGCTCTCTGTGCAATGCGCTGACTTGGTTCAAAAAACTCGATGGGCTTGATGCTGAGGAAATGCTTTGTTTGACCCGAAACAGGTTCCCTTTGAGTCGGAGCCTCCTGATGGTCTGTGTTGTCAAATGGGTTATTTTTGCAATTGTGCCCCCAGCAATACCTCCAGGAGAGGCTCGGCTGGGACTGGTGAACTTGCGGCAGCTGGAGCACGGAGTACTTGCCCTGCAGCCCTTGCTTGTCTGTGTGTATTCAGACGTGAGTGCCTGGCATGTGGGCACAGGCAGAATGACTAAAAGACCTGGCTGTGTACATTACGTGGCCGCAGACTGAACTTTTCTGCTGTACTCTACAGTCAGTTGCCTTCACGCTTCTTGCTCTTCATCTTTTGGGGTCTCAACCGCCACCTCTGCGATACTCTTACCTTTTCCCAGCATGGGGATCTTGCTTCCAGTTAGATTCAAGATTGAAAATGGGGGCTTTGATCTTCCACAAGTGCCAAAGGTTGTTTGCAGTGTTTGCTGACGTTCACAAATACAGAGCGGTGTTCCTGGGTGGAGGACGAGCTCTGATGCTCAGGCTGCAAGGAGGCAAGTTGCAAACCCTGCGGTTCCTCTCAAGGTTTTCTACCAAGCAGTGCCACAGGGGCAGGATCTGTCCTCTTTTGTGTATAAAGTAGAGAGAGAAATGCATGTTTAAAGCTGCCCCTTACAGCAACCACTTTATCCCTCATGCATGGAGAAATGCAAATTTCCACTCAGTTACTTGATACATCTTTTAGAGGAGAATATAATTTTTTTTTTTTTGGGGGGGGAAATGACTAAAAACATTAGAAAATTCCAGGCACTTCCAGTGCATGAGGGAGAAATTAGTGTTTTACAAGGTCTTGAATAAAAACAAACTTCGCTTTCCGATACAGTGGCAGAAATTTGATTATCAAGGCTGTTAAAAGTATACAAGGTAATTTTAATGAATGCCATATTTACTGCCTGTTGCTTAACATCATGCAGGAGCAAAAATGGGTAAAACTTCCCCCTTAGGCCTTGGATGTCACACCTACAGGCACAGGACTTCCTACCTGCCACAAGTTCACATCACCCAGCCTTTTCACAGGCCTCCATGGCTCTGCCTAGACAACTGCTTAAGTTGTGCTCACACAGATGTTGAAAATATACCATCTAATGAAGCAACATGTCCTTCAAAAGAGTGGCTCCTGGTTGTATTGTCAGTGGCAGCCCTCAAGAGCTATTTTTAACGACCAGAAACATCCATCCCATGGTCAAAACAGTGGTGTTCCTCCCTGTCCTGGGATGGGTTCACCTCTTGGGGATGAGAACACCTGTGTTTCAATCCCAAATTAGGCTGAACATCAGAAGAGGTTTGGAGCTGTAGGACAGGAGGTGACAGGGGACTGCCACAGCAGTTCATGCAGTTCTCCGTCCCATGGGAGAGGGGAAAAGGGCAGCAGGCTGCAACCCTGAGGAGTTGTTCATTCAGGCTGGTGTAATGTGACTGAACTGGTCGTGTCGGTGTCTAGACTGATTTCTTTGCACAACTGAAATGTTTGCATGCATGCTGCAGGCACGTGCAAATGAGTGCCCACGGCTGTCAGACTTCAAGTGTTCATCTTTGATTCCCCCAATGGGGACCGGTGCTGTATTTGCAGTGTCGTACAACTAATTAATCAATGATGTGTCACACATATTTGGGCAGTATTCAACAGCAATAGCTGAAAAGCAAAGCAAAAAAATAAATATTATCTGGCATCACTCATGCAACTTTTGAAGCAGTGATCTCTCTGGTGCATAAGTCTCATGTTCATATCAGGAGTAAATGAAAAATAAGCTCACGAGGCGATGCAATTGACATAACTGTATTGCAGCAACTCAGTCATAAAGAAAAGCAGTATTCCCAGTATATTATATCTGTCTGCTCAGACTTCCCCAGAAGACAGTGAAAGTTGGTGGCCCAGCAGATTAATATTCTTAATTAAATAATATTGTAGTGGAAACCATGGGAATATATGAACATGGTCATTTTAGAGAGAGTTTTGCCTGGGGGACGTAGTCTTATTGCATGATTCATAGTGGATGCACTCAGTCTTTGTGTCCTGTGCATAACCAAAGTGCATGTGGGATGGGGAGCATGAGTGTCTATTATGTAATTAGTGTATATGATTCATATAAATACACATCACAGCCATTTTACATAAAGCTTTGGGACTGATCCAGCAAGTCCTCAGCACATGCAAGGTTCAGAGCAGGGAGTACAGGTTGGGTTGTTCCTGCAGTCACAAGAGGGCTGCTCCACAGCAGGTGAGGGAGGTATGGATATAGATCTCCCCAGGGTAGACATCCATATCTGAGACAGTCACCCTCAGCTTCCTTTTGAGTCAGTGGGGACAAACTGGGATTTGCAGGACTTGACCAGTCTGCAGATGAGCTGTACTGGTCCCTGGCAGTGCCTTGGAGGAGCCTGTTTGTCTCCACAGGCTCTAAAGCAAACCTAGGTGAGTAGTTCAGGTACAGGCACGTCTGATCTGATAGTCTGCCTTTGGTGAGGTGATTTAAGAGATATAACTGTCCCATAAACATATGTGTATCACAGCCTTGTTACACTTCAGTCCTGGTTTAACCCCACCGTGGTCTGCCTCACCCTGACATCTACCTGCTCTGCGACTGCAGGGTTTGAGCATGACCTTAATTTTGTTGAGAATACTGAGAAGGGAGGTGAGGGAACTACTTCCCCTGCACTTTCCCTAGATTTCCTCACCCTTCTACCTCAACACTAGTTTTTTGCTTTTTTTCACCTTTGAGAGAGAGATGTGATGGGTCAAGGTCTTAAGATGCGGGAAGACCTGCCCTGCAAGTGTAACGTGAACACACTCAGTGCTGGCTGTGGAAGAGCCTGCCCTGCACAACTCTGTTTGACAAATGCCCATATGACAAAGCAGAAAATTAAAACTGAATCTAAATAGCAGGACAAATCACCAGGCTTACCTTTTCCAGCCTCGGGCTTGCACTCTTTGCAGATAGTTGTCAGTTGGGGATGTTGGTCTTGTGCCACCATACCCAACTCTCCTGTCCCACACTCTGGAGTCCCTGCAGTGCGCAGGGTGGATTTTGTTGTCTTTGTATTTACTTTGACATTGAATAGGGACACACTGAGATAGATGAGGGACACACTGAGACAGTTAAGCGACACTCTGGGCTAAGCCTCTAAAGAAAAGAAGTTTGCAGACCCATCCCTCTGGACGAAAATGTCTAGAAAGTAATATCTTTACCAATAAATTACACAGTGGTAGAGCCTGGGCTTTTAAACATTGATACTGTTAAATTGTTGGTGAGGTTGGTTTTGAGTGGGGTTGGCCAGCATGCTCCTAAGCAGGTCCCAGCCGTGGTTTGGAAATGAGCATAGTCCCAAACCCATTCCCGTGGGCAGCTTGGAGGCAGCCACCCTGTTGTGGAGGCTAAAAGGATTTAAGATTACAGCTGTGGCCAGACTATCCCAGCTGGATTTACAGAGAGAAAATGGGCCCTGACCATGGGCTGTTTGCTAGTTCGAGTGTAGCCAAACTCTCCCGTTAATTTGTCTCACTCTGTAGATATCACCACATTATTTTGAATTATCCTGGACCTTCATCAGATGTTGAATTTAAGAAACAGTCCTGTTCTTCCAGCTCTCTGAGGGCTGGCAAGTATGAATGCAACCCTG